AAAAAAAAAAAAAAAAAAAAAAAAAAAAAAACCACAAACCAAAGAAACCCCAAAAACCAAAAACAAACAAAAAAAAAAAAAAGAAAAAAATAAATTGGAAGGCATCCTTTAAAGTTTTCTCGTAAAATTTATGATACAAGTGGATGCCATGGATCCTGGAATTTGTGGAACCAGGGCTAGACACTCCATCCTCTAGTGTCATTTCAGCACTCCCGAGCCGCTGCACCACTACACAATGGAGAATTGATGGAACTCATAGTCACTTAAAAAAGAGGATGGGAATTTTTTTTTTTTTTTGACAGGGTCTCACTCTGTTGCCCAGGCTGGAGTACAGTGGTGCAGTCTCAGCTCACTGCAACCTCTGCTTCCTAGGCTCAGGCGATCCTCCCACTTCAGCCTCCTGAGTAGCTGGGACTACAGGCACATGCCACCACACCCAGCTAATTTTTGTATTATTTTTTTTTTTTGTAGAGGCGGGGTTTTGTCATGTTGCCCAGGCTGGTCTCGAACTCCTGGCCTCAAGCCATCTGCCCACCTTGGCCTCCCAAAATGTTGGGATTACAGGCATGAGCCTCCACGCCCGTTCAAGGATGGGAATTCTAACAAAAGAAATTATTTTTAATGAAACATCAAAAGCATTCTTTATAAAAGGAACTCAAATCAAATTGGGTTTCATGTGGAAACTGTAAATAATTAAATGTCACGTTTTCCTCAGAAAACACAACTTTTTGCCCATTAACAGAACATGTTAAAATATACACATTTCTAAAGTTACTCCCAGTTTAAAATTTTAACTTGCAAATAGTACAGGCTTTTTGGCTTTATGTTTCACTTTTCAAATCATTTCCTCCACTTCACTGCAGGTAATTTCTCTCATACTACAGTACTGCTGTCCCACCTTCCCGCAAAAAAGGCAAGACAGCCAGTGAAACTACAGCATCCTCTGAGTTATCAACCTGCTCTATTTTGTGATTGCTGGGCTTTCATGAGCTGAATATCTCTGGCAACTTTTGGCATAGATTTAACTGTAAAGTTAACTGAAATTCTCTTGAGAACTACTAACACGCTTCTGAGCAACAGAAACTGTCTTTTAACTCAGACTTTCACAAAGGTACAATTCTCTTAAAGCACCAAATGGGAGGGATCTCCTCTCTTATATGCCAGATCAAAGGCAAATTCCTGTTCTACCCTTATTCTTTTTTTTTTTTTTTTTTTTTTTTTTGAGACGGAGTCTCACTCTGTCGCCCAGGCTGAAGTGCAGTGGCCGGATCTCAGCTCACTGCAAGCTCCGCCTCGCGGGTTCACGCCATTCTCCTGCCTCAGCCTCCTGAGTAGCTGGGACTACAGGCGCCCGCCACCACGCCCGGCTAGTTCTTTGTATTTTTTTTAGTAGAGACGGGGTTTCACCGTGTTAGCCAGGATGGTCTCGATCTCCTGACCTCGTGATCCGCCCGTGTCGGCCTCCCAAAGTGCTGGGATTACAGGCTTGAGCCACCGCGCCCGGCCTCTACCCTGATTCTTTATAATTTCCTGTTTTCTTTCCTCTAGGTCCTCTCCTGATATTCCCAGACTTCTGGCTTTACAGGCAGAGATGCAGGTTTCAGGCCCCGGACTTCCCTCCGACCGATCTACAGCCTGGGCTTTCTGTTGCCATCCTTGACCTCTTCCTTGGGTGCAGTTTTGTAACTGCATTCAGACTCAGACAGATACTGGTCACCTGAATGACTACTGGCATTGATCTCCTTTTCCAGAAACTCAGAGAGACTGTTTTTAGAACCCTCATCTCCCAATATAGGGGTGGGAGTGGTCAGAGAGTTATAAACATCCTGTCTTCCAAGGCATGGCTTACCACAAGTCCCCAATTTGAGTAGTTTTAGTCCAAATCTAATAGCTTTGTTTCAAACCTTTCCTGAAACATGCTTAGGAACTTAGAGGTGCGGTTCATTAGCCGAGTTTTGTTGAGCCAAATAATCTAAATGATTCTGGGCAAAGTAATCAAATTCTTTTTTTTTTTTTTTGAGACGGAGTCTCACTCTGCTGCCCAGGCTGGAGTGCAGTGGCCGGATCTCAGCTCACTGCAAGCTCCGCCTCCCGGGTTTACGCCATTCTCCTGCCTCAGCCTCCCGAGTAGCGGGGACTACAGGCGCCCGCCACCTCGCCCGGCTAGTTTTTTTGTATTTTTTTAGTAGAGATGGGGTTTCACCGTGTTAGCCGGGATGGTCTCGATCTCCTGACCTCGTGATCCGCCCGTCTCAGCCTCCCAAAGTGCTGGGATTACAGGCTTGAGCCACCGTGCCCGGCCTGTAATCAAATTCTTAACAGGCAGAGGCTCCAGAACAAATAAGGATATCCAATATTTGGGGCTTTACTGGGTAGTAATGTCTGTCTATCACCTGTATTTATCCTCCAAGTACTCCTTTGTTCTGGAGAAGTGAATCCCGGTGATTTTTAGCAGTTCCCCCAAAGAGAAGATGTTAGGTAGGAAAAAAAAAAAGTAACAGAGACAGTAATTACTTTTCATTCCTTGTATTCCCAGCATGTATAAACACCCTTCTCCCATTCATACGATGCCAAAAACGTTCCCTCTTGGCATAATTTAATTAATCCACATGCAACCAAGAGAGAGGCGACACATACAAACATTTCCAGCTACCATAGTCAGAGGTGAAGTCATGGGGCCTCTGTTTATAGTTCACATTCTCCCAGTGATGTCTTTTCTTTTTCTAGTTCTGCCATTATCCCAATTTGATATTCTATAATTCCATGATCTAAATGGTGAATTCACCATCACCACTCTATCCTATTTATAATACTAAAGAAAGAAGAGGTGAGAAAAGTTTCAAAAAAAAAAAAAAAAAAAAAAAGGAAGACAATAAACAGGGAAATATAAGTAGAGGGTAGGGTCTTCATTTCTGTACATAGCCATGTGGTGGTTCTGTTACTTATGATTTCTCTATCAATTCCACATTCCCTTTGCTTTAGCCACTGGGGAGGCTCAGTCTTTCATTCCTAAGGAGTCTGAGCCCTTGGGAGTCCTTTGTAGGGTTGCAATATTATGTCATGCACCCCTCAGGATTGTAATATACAAAGATACCTTAGAGGATGCCCTGAGAATCATCTATATTACTGTCTGTCATCATTCTACAGCAGAAACAACAAAATCACCTTTTTTTGCATGGTTCTGGGGAGCTAAGAGTGGCTTCAAATTCAGTGAAACCATTGTTTTGTCTTATCCTACTAAAAGTGTTTCTTCCTAGGAAATTTAAACCTCTAATCTGGTAGAGATCAGAGTTGTAGGTACGGGAAGCAAAACTGTTGCAATGGGTCAGGTGTAATTATGACAGACACCACCTTTATTTCCACTCCTCTGCTCCCAGACTTGCTAATCTTGGCAGTGGAAGGAGTAGCTCTATAAATTGGTTGCTGGTTCATAGTATATGTTGCATCCTAGCAGCCTCTGCGGTCAATCTCCTACCAGGGCTTGCCACAGGCTCCAAATGGCATTCTTTTTTTTTTCTTTATTTGTAGAATTTCTGTTTGTTAAACCCATATAGCATTATGATTTACTCCAAACATCTTGGGTACCATTGGATCTGCTAGATGATAAGGGCCAAGGGGCAGACCTACTAGCACGGTAGCCTACACCAGCTGGAGAGCCTTGTTTTAGCTGTGGATTCACACTAACTACATGTGGCAGGAATAACATCTGCATTTTCCAAGTCTTGAATAGTGGCAAAAATCCCTGAAATTCCCACAAGAATATGCTATTGCGTTTATTTCCTCTGTTGATGAGGAGGGGGAGCTCTCATAGCTTCCATTTTCCCCCTGCTTACCCTTATAACCCCTTTCTCCAGGGTCCAGGTAACCCATGTGGCCATATATTGGAGACTAGCATCTGTTTCTGCCTGGAGATTTCTGAAGTCAGGAGGTTTACCTGTACAGTAGGGTGAATATGGAACATGATATAGTGGAACTAGAAAGAAAAGGATGGGGGAACCTCCCATTCCATGCCTTCGCTCTGCATTCCTCAAAGGGTGCAGAAGATAACTATCGTGTTTTCCATGATACCATGTGTTGCAGCACAGAAGTTAGAGGAAGCAACAGAACCTCAGGGCAGCCTCCATAGCCACTAGCCAGAGGAGGAACACTCCATCTGGAAGCAATGTGTGGATGCTGACTGATGCTGAGCATGTCCAGGCAGTGGTGGAATAATCCCAGAGGAGGGGTTTAGGGCCTCACTCAGCTTACTGGCGGGCAGACTCAGAGAAAAGCTTCAGTTTCCCTTAACCTCCATAAATGCTCCCTTCACTCTGAGGTAGGCACTACTGCAGGAGTGTTCTGGTCCATTGGCTTTAACATTAACTTAAAGTCAGTTTCCAATTCATTTCTTTCTTTTTTTGTGGGGAATGGGGGCACGGTTTCACTCTGTTGCCCAGGCTGGAGTGCAGTGGAGTGATCATGGCTCACTGCAACCTCTGCCTCCCGGGTTTAAGTGATTCTCCTGCTTCAGCCTCCTGAGTAGCTGGGATTACAGGTGTGGCCACTGTGCCCAGCTAATTTTTGTATTTTTAGTAGAGGTGGGGTTTCGCTGTGTTGTTCAGGCTGGTCTCAAACTCCTGACCTCAAGTGATCCACCCACTTTGGCCTCCCAAAGTGCTGGGATTATAGGCATGAGCCACTGTGCCCAGCCCCAGTTCATTTCTGAAGGTTTGGGACTATCCTGTCCACTGTAAGTTGCTAAGGTCAATGAGGTACAAGTGCTTTGGGGGGAAGATCAAGGGGGAGATTCACAAGTGTTGTAACAGATTTCTTACTAAGGTTCTCCTGATCATCCCTCATTCTAGAGGCTCTGGGTCTGTTTAATTAATGGCTCATGCCTGGGACTTGTACGTGAGCTATCCCTCTGGCTGCTAGGCTAGTGTGATGGATGACTCAAATGCCAGGCACCTCTGTTGGCTAAACCAGAGAATCATTTTGGTAGATTTCATTTCTGGGAACTGCAAAGTTAATTATCCATAGCCAGAGATCCTTGCATGTGTGTTAGTCGGCTTAGGCTGCCATAACAAAATACTACAGAGTGGGTGGCTTAAACAACAGACATTGATTTTCTCACAGTTCTGGAGTCTAGAAGTCCAAGATCAAGGTGGCTAGCAGGGTTGGTTTCCGGTTGGTTTTCCAGGGGAAGCTGCTGTGGACAGAGTTATTGGCTTCTTGGTCACAATAGGCTCCACAGAAAGAACATGTTTGTAGCGTGATAGACACTCATTTGATTAAACCATTGCACTGCCATGTTCAAATTCATCCAATAAATTGCTCAGTGTTTCTGCTTGTGCAGGCACAGACTAAAACCAAGAAATGGACTGCCATGTAGAGTCCGTTTATATAACGGGGAAAAGGGTTCAAAGATTATATTATTTGTTCTATCCATACATGGGCAAGTCATTTCCCCTTCTGGGATCTCAATGTCCTTGCCAGCAAAATAAGAATGTTGTCTTAGACCCGTAGTTTCCAAACTCAGCTCCACAAAACATGCATGCCTTTAATGGTTTGTAACTAGAGTCGCTCTTCAGAATGATCCATGATCCTTGAAAATATACATACCCCCAGCTTCACTCTAGATATTCTGATTCAGAAGGAGGTGTGGAGCAGAGTCAGGGCCTGGACACATGGACAAAACAAAAAACATTTCACAGGTGCTTCCCAAGCCCTCCCCAGGTAAGGAATCTGTGATATAGATGTTAATAGGTACTCCTTTAACAATGGTGCTATGGTTTGGATATGGTTTCTTTGGCCCCTCTAGGTCTCAAGCTGAAATTTAATCCTCCGTGTTAGAGGTGGGGCCTGGTGGGAGGTGTTTGGGTCATGGAGCTGGATCCCTCGTAAATGGCTTGGCGCCATTCTCACAGGAGTGAGTGAGCTCTCACTCTTAGTTCCCACTAGAACTGGTTGTTGACAAGAGCCTGGCACCTCCTTCTCTCTCTCTCTCTTGCCTCCTCTCCTGTCATGTGATCTCCACGCACCAGCTCTCCTTTGCCTTCTGCCATGAGTGGAAGCTCCCTGAGGCCCTCACCAGAAGGCAGATGCTGGCAGATGCTGGCAGATGCTGGTGCCATGCTTCTCATACAGCCTGCAGAACTGTGAGCCAAATAAACTTCTTTTCTTTAAAAATTACCCAGTCTCAGTAGTCCTTTATAGCAACACAAACAGACAAAGACAAACAGCAACCAAATTTCCTCATTCCAGGGCTTCTGGAAGCCTTTAATATTCTAAAGTACAGTGCAGATCTCCAACAGGTATTTATCTAATGTGCCATTCGCAGAGGGGTTTGACTATAGAAGCAACACCTACCAACAGCTGAGGCTCAGTGTTCCTCAGGTCATAGTTGAGAATACCCTAGGCTAGGATATATTCAGGGCCACTGTGAGTCTACATCCAAAGATTCTAAGTAAACATTTTATTTTGATGAATCATTGTACACAATATTAAGGAATTTTCCATGGGGAAAACAGCATGGAACAACCTTACAGGGATGCATTTTCAAAGTGTCCTTAGCACCCCCAATGAAATATATTGTCAAAGAACAAAATACTACTATGGTTTCTAACATTTTTGGTGGTTTGTCCTTTTTTATTAAGATGGGAACCAAAACAGAAACTAACACTCTGGACCTTCTCAGAATGCTATCCAGATCACAGTCTCACCTCTGAAGTCTGCACAACATTTAAATTGTGGCCTAGACAGATGTTTATTTTGCCTTCTACTCTCCTGGAGACAGAAGATACCACTTTATTTTCAATTCTTCTTAGGGCAAAGAGAGGGAAAAGTGAGCTGAAATTCCAACCCCTTGCAAACCCAGAGATGGTTCCTTTAGACCCACATTTTGATTTGATGTTCACAGTAGATTAGAAGAGATTCACACTCCTTGGGTAAGCT